TTTTTTTTGCTTTCCTCTTCTTCAACAAGTTATCTTGCCAAAAACGTCAATTCACAATTGACAAAATTAATTATTGAGAAGATGAGATCGAGTAAAAGGCGTTTAACTGACGAACACAACTAATAATAAAATTACTATTATGTTGAATGACATCATGTTCGAAAATGACTCGAAAATGTGCTGCTCTCAATGCTCACATGTATGTGTGTAGGTTTTTTTTTTAAAATGCTTCAATGCAGTGGTGTTTAGTGGCGTTCTTTTTGGATTGGACAATATTGACTTCCTTTAATGCAATTGTTGTGGTGCTTGAGAGCATTGAGCAACTGAATGAAGAATGCGGCACAAACATGAAAAATGATCAACGGAGTTGCACTTAATAAAATTGAATTTGGTTCGTGCTCTTGGCTCGAATTAACCACCTTCCTTTTGTTGTTATTGTTGTTAACCTTCCCTTGGTGTTGGTGTTCATCTCAGCCAGTGAGCTTTTTTCACTCTCTGTGTGATAGGCCAGCCAGCGATTAGTGANTATATTTGAAGATACTGATGCCGACTGAGAATTAATATGACTGGCATCAATAAATGATATTTACGGTGCTTTTCTTGAGTTTTTGGTGGGGGGGATGTGGGGAGGGAATATGAGACTGACTGACTGACTCTGTGACACAGAGTTGTTGGTTTCTTTGGTGTTTTGGTGGTGTGTTGCCCATGCAGTCAGTAGTCAGTTTAAGAGATTAAAATGATATATATGCTGTGGGCCGGAAAGCCAGCGACCGCTTAGAAGAGTTGTCCCGTTTTGATGATGCTGCTGCTGCTGCTGCTGTGCCATAGTAATACACCATATTCATTTATTCATATTACACATGTATATGCCATATACATGTTATGTATAACGAACAATATCCACGCACATCATGTATATTCCACAACATCTGCACATGCAATCCATCCATGATCATGCACACTTACTTTCATGCATTTTCATATCTTCTCAGTTAGTTTCTAAGCAATTCACCGACCGTTTCAGCTGTCACCGTAGTGTCCATCGTTGTGACTGACTGGTGATCTTGCTGCTGCAGCTGCTGTCCGTTCACAAAGAACAGCCGAATCTACTATCCATATTGAGTATCCATCCATATTGTTGTAGTAGAAGTAGCAGTAGATGGGGTGAAGTGCCTAACTGCTATTCAGAATCAGTTGTCACTGTCGTCGTCGTCGTCGCCGAGTTCACTGAGTTGTTCAACAAAATACTACTACCAGAAGATGACTGAAGTGAAGCGCAGTAAACAGTAGCAGTAAAGTAGACATCGTATCACGACGTCACATCCATCCAAATACACATCACTCACGACAAACACAAACAAACAAATACCCAGAACGCTTCAATTCTTCTCAGAAATTGCTCTTTTTTTTGGCCGATTGCATTCGATTGGATTCACATTCACTCATTTGTGTATTCATTCATCTATTCATTCGAATCACATCCCATCCATTCTGCTGCTGTTGCTGCTGTTGCTAGTGTCATAACAATTCATTTATGCTTTTACTTCAACTCATTTTTGACGATTGCATTTCCAAGAATATTGCTGCTGAAACTCGTGTGGATGCAGTTACAGTTTAGTGGTGCGCAGTGATTTTTGCTCGACATTGACGAATCAGTGAACTGAAGTTAGCAGCAGCAGCATTTATTCCAGTTTGCAATTGCGTTCATTCGGGTGTTTGTGTGGTTTTTAGCTGCTGCTGCTGCCATCGGAATCCTGATCATCCCGTTCCTCTTCTCTGCTTTCTCCTTCTTCAGACGTTTTTTCGGCAGATTCTCTCTACAATATCACAACGAGATTCAGTCGGTTGCCGTGTTCCTGGCTGTTTTTTTCCTTTTTTGTTCGTCGTTTGACCCCGATCCTGGCCCCCGTCCTCCTAGCCACGAGCATTCAAGTCGTGACTCTCCACCATCACCATATGATGACGACGATCAACCTCATCAACGTCATCCTCATCATTCTCATCCTCATCGCACTCGTCAACGACAACCAAGAATGTTGCCCACCACTGCACTAGTTCCCCTAAAGAGCAACACAACGGTTGCAACCAATCGTACGGCTTTGTTGCGCTCAAATGCGCTACCGTATTTGGCGTTACTGTCACGAATACTGTACACACTGGATGCACGATTCGACTGTAAAGGTGCAAACTGTAGAGGTTCGTTCTTCTAATTTGCTCGTTTCCATCAACACAACAAAACTTTCTTGCGGTTAGTTAATTGGTGTACATTCGCGCTTCATCACTGGATTGAGCCGAGCTCGAAGTTCAATTCCAGAATCCTAAAATTCCTGGTGGTTTTCAATATTTTAGTGCATCTAGAGATCGATTCCGATGCATCGAATTGCTTTTGCGATGCATGATTGATCTTTTTTGGTAGCGTTGGATGTGTTCGCTTCTATTGCTTCATTCAATAAGCATTCTTCAGTAATTGCTGATAAATTATTCAAGCGTTCTAAATCAATAATGCTTGGTGTTTCTAACTCTTTCATTGTAACGTTAGGATGACTTTTTTTGCGGTAACAATTGAGGAACTCTAGGACTGTTCAGTGAGACTCTGAAAAAAAAAAAAGCTCAATTCATGTTCGTCGCTGTTTCTATGAATACTCGCGCCAGGTGATTTCTATGAATGCCAACGACTCGAAAATCAACGTTGTGAACGTTGCTGACT